TTTCAATCTTCTTCCCCTTGCTCTCCCTCTCATACATGAAAAAACCCTAGTTTTGTGTAACCTCATCTCATGAGTTCATTAGCAGGCATAAAACAAGAACAACTGAATTCATAGTTCAGATTAGTGAGCTGAATCAAATCTTACAAACAACCTAACCCAATTAACTGCCCAGTGCCCACTTACTGCAAGTTTAAAATGTGGGAACCAGAAACAATGGAAATGCTAAGGGAAACATTCAGTACATAATTAGGAAAATAAGAGAACCCTGACAGCATGTCAAACCAGGAAGGAAGCACCTAGAAAACACAACAAACCTATATGAAGCTAATTTTCACCTCAGTTGTACAAGCTTTCTAAACAGAAAATATTGAGATCCTTAAGCATTAATGATACAATTTAGATAAAATAAGTCCCTACATGTTCTGGAAACGGGTTTTTTCAGGAAATGGCATTATCTTGTGGGCTTGTTTTGATATCCAATTCTTAGCTAGGCCAAAAGAGCATCCTCTCCCACATCAATCCTCTTATATATAATGAAAATAACAAGAATGGTTCCAATGTCCTTTTGTTTTTACCTAGAAGTTACTTACTTTTAGGCGGATCACTCAGTTCCAGTTCGTGGTTGTGTAGAACATGTATCCTGATCTTGAAGATCTTGTGCTATTCAACAGCTATGTTTTCCCTTTAAGTTTATTTCCAACTCTCTACCAGAGAAACTGTCTAGAATTTCATGAAGCTTTTGAATGATAAAAGTTTGTACCTTGAGGCAAAGTCGTGCAGAAACATCCTGATCAAAAACACCAAGAGCAATCACAGGAAGTGAAGTGAAGAAGACATTATAGCACGACATGTACCAATCGTTATAAGCAGGTTGGCCAGAGAAAGATGCATAGGCCTCAAACCAAAACAGAGTGAACCCAAACGCAATGTTCTTGTAGAAGAAGTAGCAGATCTGAATGCAATGAAGAAAAATGTTAATAAGGACAAGCTTTTTGTCTGGTTTTTACTTAACTGCATGTGCCTTGTCTTCCTATTCTAATTGGATTGAGTCTCCATTTCCTTAATATGGCAAAATGCTGCATTGTTTCAACCAAGATTTTATTGTTTTGACGAGGGAATAGGGAAAAAGAAAGAAAGGGTGAAGGTAGTCATCTTCCTTTCTACAGGGGAAGTTTTTAGTTATTAAAAAACTAGGAAACAAAATAGACATTGGGTGACTTCCGATTACGGACTCAGTAGACTGATTTTTGTTTGTCAAGGCACATATATGTAGAGGCACTATGAAATTCTTTGACAAGTCTCTATGAAATGGAAAGGCATATGAAAGCACACATTTACCATCATGGCTATCCGCCTGTAACACCAGTGGCCATGCACTAATAACAATCGTTCGAGAAAACGAAACTGAGCTATCGCAAAGTCACTTGACATCACAGCCTGTAAAAAAACAAAGAAGAAGAAGAAATAGAATCAGCAGAGGCACTACTATTCACCTACAGAGTCTGAAATAAGAATAAGTTCATAATAGGCACCACATTATTGGAATTAATTCAAAAGAAAGTGCAATAGCAGAAAGCCAGAAAGAAACACAATATAGCATAGAATTATCTGGATAAGCGTTTGTTTTGTTTCTATGGATGCCAAAAGGTACGTAATAGATGAAGCAATAAGAGTTTATAAAGGGAGCAAAAGAAAGAGAAGCAAAAGAAGCGTACAGTACATTCTGAAAGAGAAAAGGCTGGCAAACATGTCAACTCACCTGCAGCCCCTCCTCTCCAAAACTTCAGATATGTGTCAACAGGCAAATGTCTATGTGATAGAAATCAGGCCCAGATGACTGCCTTTTAAAACTCATTCATTGAACGTTATATACTTTTACTCGCTGTTATGACTGTGCAGAACAACAGGTATCAGGAACTGAGTATTATCATCTTCACTTGTTAACAGATGTGTCAATGAGCCATTTTTTTTAACTCCCTTTACCTCTTCNAGAAGCAAAAGAAGCGTACAGTACATTCTGAAAGAGAAAAGGCTGGCAAACATGTCAACTCACCTGCAGCCCCTCCTCTCCAAAACTTCAGATATGTGTCAACAGGCAAATGTCTATGTGATAGAAATCAGGCCCAGATGACTGCCTTTTAAAACTCATTCATTGAACATTATATACTTCTACTCGCTGTTATGACTGTGCAGAACAACAGGTATCAGGACCTGAGTATTATCATCTTCACTTGTTAACAGATGTGTCAATGAGCCATTTTTTTTAACTCCCTTTACCTCTTCCTAAGTCCAATAAAAATATAAAATGCATCGAGAGTATGTCCCTTACCCTCAGATGGACATAGAACACACAAACACATAATCAGTTAACTTTTTTGAGAGTTCTTATAGGAGAGAGAAATTTCAATGATAAAGCGTTTTCCCCAAAATGTTCATTTTTTCTTTCTAATTTTCAGTACTGGCATGATAACACTACATTCCGAACCAGAGATGTAAGGTTGCCCAGAGGCCAAAAAAAACACAGAGGCAAGCAGATACACAGAATACAGCAGAAGCCAATGACCTGCATCCCTTCAACCCCACTAATGCCAACTCCAATATCAGCTTCTTGAAGCATGCCAACATCATTTGCTCCATCACCAATAGCTAGTGTTGTCTTTCCTGTTTCCATTTTCACCAATCTTGTAACCTGCATATCTTCAACACTTCTGTCAGATTATTTTGATGTCAGCAAGAACAGGAATTGATTGTTTTAACACCATGAAAAAAAGAAACTTTAACTAATTGTACAATGGAACATGATTATAACACATACACGGGCTTTCTGTTTTGGAGAGGAGCGACAACAAATAACAGATGCACAATTAATTGCAACCTCCAAAAATGACATCTCCAGATTCTTCTTCAGAGCAAAATGTAAGGATCGACCATCGATTATCAACGCAAACGTGACAGAACTGTCTTTAACTGAATTAAGTTGGGATTTTCCTTCTGTTATTTGCTTTGTTATGCTTGCACTTGAAGCCTAAAAATAAAGTACTTCAAGCCTAAGATAATGACCATATTTTAGAAAATCAATATTAGAACTGCTGGTTATGCAATTAAACCTAGGATCCCCTACCTTTTCAATGGCCTCCTTGTCCCCTTCTTTTTCCAAAGCTTTTATATCTGGAGAATCTAATGTGATCACAATCTGCTGCATTCCCTGTCTTAGTAAGCTACATGCATACCTATAGGAACCACCAGAGTTAAAATATGCATGAGAAAGATAGAATGTCAAGCTTGGTGCATACCCAATGTTAATTGCAGTCTCCATCTTGTCACCAGTTAACACCCAAATCTTTATCCCAGCCTTCGCAAGCTTGTCAATACACTCAGGAACCTTTACCAGAGAAAGTTATTAGATCCAAAATTGTCATCCTCACAATTCAGAAGGGTGTTTATAGCTAAAATTTAGTAAACATCTTTAAGAACTGAGCAAGAATCATAAAGAAGTAAGTTTGATATTCACCCCTTTTTGCAGTTTGTCCTCAACAGCCGTAGCACCAAGGAGGATTAAACTTCCTTCAATCTTATCAGCAGCTGCATCCACCAACTCATCCCGCTCTGCAGTGACAGAAGCTTTGGCCTTTAGAAACTCCAGTTCCCACAATCTATACTCTTCTTCACTAAGCTCACGGTATGCAACTACCAAAGTGCGTAGGCCTGCCTCAGCATATTGTCTGATATGCTCCTTGATCTTAGCCTCAAACAAACGCCCATCTTTGGAAAGCCTTTCAAGCATCACACTAGACACATGCATATGAAGGGGGGACACAAGTTAAATGATCAGTCAATCAATAAATTCAGCTATGTTTCACAAACAGAGAGTTCACTGGAAGTCTAACCTATCCGCACCCTTGCATAGGAGCAACAAATGATTCTCTGCATTCCTTACAATTACAGACATCCTTTTACGAGCACTGGTAAACTCTAAAACATGCAGAAGCCTGTATGATCTGAAATACAAATCAAGACAATAAAATGCAATTAAAATTGTAAAATTAAGAAAATCATAATTAGATAAACCAAAACAAAAAATAATTGAAATACAATAAAATGCCTTGTTTTGAAATGTTTGCAGCTCATTATTCATGTTTACTAATAGTTTGATAAAAAAAAAAAAAATTACATACTCACATTTGACTAGGGGTGGTGCAACTCGGACGGGTTGGACAATCAACCCTAACCCAATCTTAGGTATATAATCTTCAACCCTAACCCTACCTCGAGTTGGGGAACTCAACCCGAGCACTGCCGGAGTTTAATTCAGGCGGGCTCGGGTTGATGATTTCGGGTTACTTTACGGGTTCTATTCGGGTAGAGCTCAAAATAGACTTGTTGTTCTAAACCTAATACATATATTACATAATATTCACCTAAATTAACAATTAATAACTTCAACTAAGTTTTTAACGAGAGAGACAAAGAGAACGAGAGAAAAAAAATGAAAAACCAGTGCTAATGCTTTATATATATATATAATTTTTTTTTAATTTGTCGGGTTCAGGTTGAACTCGGGTTCACGAGGCCTTAACCCGAGCTCAACCCAAATTGAATTAGGGTTTGGGATTTTTGACCCAAGCCCAACCCAAGTATTAAAAACCCTTGCCCAAGCCTTAATTTTTTCGGGTTGAAATCGGGTTGTCCAACCCAAGTTGCACCCCTACATTTGACGATGATTGTTGACACATGTAACGGCACATACAGTTTCCTTTAGTTTCTCTCATTTTATCGAATCTATAGATCTTNAAACCTAATACATATATTACATAATATTCACCTAAATTAACAATTAATAACTTCAACCAAATTTTTAACAAGAGAGACAAAGAGAACGAGAGAAAAAAAATAAAAAACCAGTGCTAATGCTTTATATATATATATATATAATTTTTTTTTAATTTGTCGGGTTCAGGTTGAACTCGGGTTCACGAGGCCTTAACCCGAGCCCAACCCAAATTGAATTAGGGTTTGAGATTTTTGACCCAAGCCCAACCCAAGCATTAAAAACCCTTGCCCAAGCCTTAATTTTTTCGGGTTGTCCAACCCAAGTTGCACCCCTACATTTGACGATGATTGTTGATACATGTAACGGCACATACAGTTTCCTTTAGTTTCTCTCATTTTATCGAATCTATAGATCTCGTCCTCAATTTTTTTTTTTAATCACTTATATTAGGCAAGCAGGAAAAGTTAGTGAACTATTTTTTATGTGCAGATAAAAAAATGTCGGTTTATGTGATTGTTCACCTCAATTTCCAGCAGTTATATTAAGACTTGTTCCTATTTCATCACCATAAACTTCAAAAGCGTAAAGAATTACCTATCATCACACAAATTTTGATTTCATAAAATTCCCTTTTCTTCAGCATTACAGAATTTTTCGACTTAACAGATGCAATAGCAGCATGGCAATCAGCTAGAGTACTAAAAAAGTGAATTTTTCTATCAACATAACGTATTATAGTTTGGAATTTAAAACAAGAAATAGAAAAGAAAATCACACCAACATATTTGCAGAAATTATATATTTCATAGAGCAGTAAGAGGACGAGAAAACAAATGTGTCAAAACCAAGACAACGCAAAGCCAATGAGCAGTCAGGCAAATTTCATTTGCTAGGATGTGTGTACTTTACACATGCGCGCTATGTACAATGCATATACCTCCTGATCCCTCACAGGAGTCACATGACACAGCTAGCTACTGTAATAAGTAATTTTCAGTTGTTTGAACAAACCACCAGAAAGTAAGAATTTCGTATTTTAACACATAAATATTCTGAAATATCTCACCTGTCAACCTTTTTGCCACTATCATGATCTAATTCATGCAATGAGATGCTCGTTTGTGTCCTTTCAAAAAACTCAAAGCCAAGCTCCCTCGCAGCTATGACAAAGGCAGCTTCATCTGGGGACTCAGCTTCATAAGAAATTTCGCCTGATTCATTATTGACTTCAGGAATGGCCGTATGGCAGATTGCTAATACTCTAAAGAACTTCTGGATCACATCTGAATAGGGCTCATTAACCCAATGCCCATTCATAAGCCGTTCATCTCTGAAGTTGAAACCTTTGATTGACTTTCCTGAGTCCAGAACATCATCACTGTTTGATGCTAAGTCTGAGGAAATATCACCAAGTTCAGGTGGCCCACCCCTTTTTCTCTTAGCCAGGGCCCTCTCTACTTCTGTCATACCGTGGCCATAAGCAGTGCCTGCTATTGAACATTTAACAAACTCCATGGAGTTGCATGTCAAAGTGCCAGTTTTGTCAGACAGTATTGTATCAACCTGACCAAGTTCCTCATTCAAATTAGAAGTGCGTGCACGCGCTGGTGTATCTGTTTCCTCATCATACATTTCCTGATCTTGGTTAATGAATATACACTGTAAGACCTTTACAATCTCAATGGATACATATAACGATATCGGGATTAAATATCCATACAACATAAGGCCTGTCAAGAAATGAAGAAATGCAGCCAATGAAGCTCTTTTGGGATCATAAAACACAGTCGTTTTGTCTGGACGAAGATACCACCTTTTATACCTTCCACCATGAATATCTTCCTTAGTTTCGATTCCAAAAAAGAAAGATCCAATAAAAGATACTAAAATCAGAGTACTGAAAAGGATGTAAACTATCTTATCCATTTTCCTCTCTATCTTACTCCTCTTAGAAGGAGGATCTGTAGCATTCTGCATAACTTTTGTGTCATGCCCAGTAAAAATGACCACACCATAAATATGCTCAGTGTTTCTTAGTTTAGAACCTCTCAAAAGAATCTGTTTCAGGGAAAGTGGGTGGTGCTGACCATCATAGTATAAAGTTCCAACAAATGAATAAAGATCTTCATTTGGGTCTTCGCACTTGATCATTGCCTTAAACTGCTGAAAGGAATTCTCATCGTGCAGACGGGCTGTCACATCCGAAGCATGCTTCAACTTCAGATTAGTCTCTCCATCAAGGTTCGAGGTCTCAACATAACATACCCCATCTTCATTGCTTGATGAAAGCATAAGCAGATCAGCAGGAAAAAATTCATCTTTGTATACCTTAACAAGATCACCAACTCGTAATTTCTTCCATTTGGTTTCATAAAAGGTATGATTTCTACCATACACTTTGACGTTTCGATTATTGGCCTCTATATCCTGAAACAGATTTGAAGTATCAATTACAACTTCAAAAAAATAATTTTTAATTAGATCAACCCTTATTGACCCATTCCACTCAGATTAAACCATATCTACCCAGGAAACAAACAAAACAATAAATGAAAACAGAAGATATACAATTTGAACAGAGAAGACCAGGCATAAATGAAGATTATGCGGAAGACTACAAGGATCTAACATTACAATCTCATGAGAACAAATAAAATCCGAAGTTATCTGAAGTCCTAAGACAACCAACATCAGCTACCAGTTCACACCCCAACCAAAAGCTGCCTTTGCTAACCTTGCCTTATCGGAACTAACGCATTCAGAAGAGAAGGTCACATCTGTCTTAAAATCCAAAGTTATCTGAAGTCCTACAGAAAAGGAAAATGTATCCTTTCAGAGATCATTGTTGGGCACAACTTTGTCTATTTCCCTTCCCCCTCCCCCATCTTCTTCATGTTTTTTAGACGTGATGCTACACCAGCATTTTTTCTTCTTTTTTTTGCCTCTCAGCTATCAGATAGTAATGATCCCTAGAGTACCGTACCCCTGCAGTGTCCTTTACCATCATATTAGGACACTAACATAAATGTGTAATTCATATTGATCAGGTATAATTATGGGTGATGTGCCAACATAGGCATAACTAATCTTCACCATAGTCACATCAGCAAACTAGCTCCATATAAGACCATATGTCAATCTGATTGCAATGTAAACCTTTGCGGTACCATAATTTCCTCCCACCTGTCATAATACACCTAAACTTAACCAAATATGTGTGGACGCCTGTATTCTCAAATAGATAATTCAAACGCAACCTGTCGATTTCATCGTGGAATACATGCAACAAGAAGCAAATCAAAAGAAAAAAATGCAGAACACAATGCACTTAGAAAGAAATTTAAGTAGTGACCTGCTTTCTGCGCCTCCAATCTTCCACACCCTCCTTAGCCATGGTTGCTCCAATTACTACCAGAAGAGGAGCAAGAATACTTACAGCACTATAGGGCGCCAACGGACTGAATGAAACACAGGCTACAACAAGAAAGTATATATTTGCAACCCTCCTGAACTGCTCAAACAGTGACTTGGGAATAAAATTAATTGCGGTGTATTTAGTGGTGGAAACATAGTTACCACGCTGAATTTGCTCCAGGTTATCAGGATCATTGCAATAAACAACCCTAGAGTAACCTCTTCCCCCAATTTGGCTATGTTCATCTCTAAATGAAGACCGAAAACACGAGAATGAATAGAGTTTGCTGAAATGTATTCCCTTCCTCCTACCATCAGACATTTTGCACTGCCACTTTTCTTCAGTGCTTTCCGTGGAAATCGGTGAGAATCAAAATTACACTCCTCACTACAAGAATTCACACTGAATTACAGAGTCAAGATGATTCTTCCTATTATTGAAGCAACTATTAATCTAAACAGATTACAATAGAAGATAATTACTCACTCCAAAGTTAAAACGGAATTATCTACCCAACAACGTAGAATACAGCTTGCTAATGCTCCCAAAAACACGGAATAGGACTTCTTCGAAACGGAGCTGCATCAATTTCTAGGAATTGAATGAACAGTGTACAACCACGAGCTCAATTTTCATCTAAAAATTGAATTGACTTCGAATTTTTAGAGCACTTCAAATGCACAGAGCAGTCAAGAAAACTTCAAACCCTAGAGATCAAAGTTTATCCAAGAACTTTATCCAATTCCTTACTTTTATCTCAAGTTCCAGAGATCTCTTCCTTCCATCATTGGTCATAGATTATGAGGTGTAAATGTACGTATACGTATAGACAGAGAAAGAGAAAGACTGTGTTGAGAGAGAGAGTGGTTGGCTTTGTAGTAGAATAGTTCGCTGAGCTACTTATCGTTGCCGCTTCTATAAGCAAAGAAATCCAATAAGGAAAGGAAAGCGAAGTTGGTGATTATTGCCGTACGACTTTCAAGCAAGAAGATCGTGAGCTTCCGCTCGGCGGGCCATTTTTTTTTTTTAAACATAAAAATAAATATACAAATAGGCCGAGGAGACTCTTAATCACTTAAATCTCCTGATATTTAAAATATTATATACAAATTTTTAATAATTTGTGTGTATGTAACACTTACACTCCTGTTATCGATGTTTATTTGTTAATAAGTTATACCAAAACTCTATAAAGTTTGTAAATATATAATACTTAGATCCCTTAAATTTAAAATATTATATTTAAACCAAAAATATTCTAATCAAAAATAGAATATCAAATATTTTAAATTTTACAATCAAAATTCATATTTTATTGTATCATTTATTAAAATAAAATTTTATTCTTTCAAAAAATCATAATTAGTATATAATTATACTATCTATTATAATAAAATTAAATAAAGAATTTAAATCATTCATAATAAAACATTAATTTTATAATCAAAATTTATGTTCTATTATGTCATTTATTGAAATAAAATTAAAAATAAAAATATAATTTTACTTAAAAAATTATAATTAGTATATAATTATACTATTTATTAGAATAAAACTAAAAAATTGAACAAAATGTCAAATTGTAATAAATACAGTATCTTTTTAACTTTAATTAAGATAATTTGATAGTTTAAATGACCAAATTAAATTCTAATATATAGTATAATTTATGATAATTATGATCTTTTATGAAAAAAGTAAATTTTTAATTTTAATTTTATTTCAATAAATGTCGTAATATAGCATAAATTTTTGTTATAAAATTTAAAATTTTTTATATTTTATATTTGATTGATGTATTTTTAATCTAAATATAACATTTAAAACTTGAATGATCTAATTATTACATGCCTACAAATTTTAGGGAATTTGAGTATAATTTACTAAAGGATATTAATGGTAGGAGTGTAAGTATTACATGTGTACAAACTTTAAGAGATTATTTATAATATTTCAAATATCAGGAGTCTAAATTATTAAGTGAAAAACTTCAAGAAGTGTAAATGTAATTCTGTCTATTTGTTACGAGTTCAAATAATAATATAGACGAGAGGTAGTTATTTAAATATTGACAATTTTTTAGAATCAGATTATGATAAATTTATCTCTCATAAATATCATAGTTCCGGTGTGAATAATATGTCTTTAATTAGATCGAAGAGAAAATTAATTAAGGTGCGCATAAGTTAACTCGAACATCCCTAATTATTAAACAAAAAAAAATGCATTATTCCATAGCACCACATAATTATTTTGCCTAAAAGAAGAATGAAAATAAAATATTCATGGCATTTCTTTTGAGAATGAGCTTCATTTAAGAATAAATTATAAAACTCACAATTAATTTAATAATTATATTAAGTTAAGTGTTTGATAGATCACCAAATTAAGTCTTTATAATGTTGCCAAGTTTCGCGTCGTATCTTGAACAATCTTCGGAAGTTAACTGGGGACGACGCCGCAAAATCTGAACCCTACACGTGGCAGACGCGTTCCAGAAAACGACCGACGTGTTAATTTGATGGAATAGTGATCGACCGTACCATAGCTTTCACATGGTGTAGACTGTGGACTGCTTTTTCTTGAGTGCTCCAGGGGCCAGAATCAGATAAAGTTAACGACGTCGTTCGCAATGGATAAAAGACTATACGACGTCGTGAGATGGGCTAGTGGCTGCTTTGGCATGGACGGGTCTTGGACGTTACACTAGCTTGTGGCAGACAAGACAAGGGTCGTTGTGATTGGAAAAGTAATGGTTTTTCGTCTTAATTTGGAAGGACTCTGGGCCACGTACCTCATTTTGATGTGATAGTGGCCCGCACCAGGGCCCACATTGGCGACTAAAGTCGTCTACGGGCCCAAATGGATAGAAAAAAATTAGGGCCAAATTTATTTATTTTTGGATCCCATAAAAAAATTATAAATCCTAATCTAATTAGATTAGTCAATTTTAAGTACGATTTGATAAGCTTATAAGAAATATATACAAAATTAATGAGTTTAACTATAACCTTAATATATTTTGGTGATAAAATAGATGGACTTATTAGACTCCTCAAATAAACGGGTCGACATGAACCCGATTAAATAAGACACAAATTTGTTGAACACGCCGTATACATAATACAAATTCAATTATTCAAAATTATAAATTAGGTGAATATATATTGAACAAATTATATCAACGACAAGATTGAAATGACGCCCACGTGTTATTTAACACACAAAATAATTAAAAAACATAGTGCTTTATGATACTACCCGCACTACTCAAAGACAACCTAACATGACAATTGATCCACGCCCGGCCCACAGAGTCTTTGTCTGCTCTATAAGTCTATAACATCATGGACATGTAGAACATACCTCCAATTTTTTTTTTTAGTTAAATTGATTTATAATCATAAAGCTTTCCATAATTTATTTCACAAAAAGTAGATGTATAATACTAACAAGTATCAGCCTCTCTCCGGTCGGATCTGACTTGTATGTCCGGACAATAACTATTTTTTTTTTCAACCGTAAAAAATGTTTGAATTAATTTACGTGCACTTCGATTAATTCTTTTTTCGGTCCGATTAAAGGTAAATCACCGACATCGAAATTAGGGTATTAATGAGGGATAAATCTCTCATAATCTGATTTTAATAAATTGTCAAGATTCGAACTCAAGACATGTGACTCGTCTCTGTGATCACTTGAACTAATATTTGAGAACACAACTACCAACTCATAATGAACGTGAAATTTTTATATCATGATTACACCTTAACATATTTTCTTAACAGCAAGTGGGGTCAATGGGACAACTTGAGGGTGGAAAGGATGAAAAATGGGATACGCACCCGGAGAATGCGAAAAATGTCACTTAACTTGCACTCATGTGTCAACATCGAGCCCAGCCCCAGCCCAACCTTTCACTCTACAATTCGAAACGTGGCCACTTTCATGTCAGCCCAACTAGTCCATTGCTGACTAGTCAAGAGTTTGCCTTGTCAAGCCCAACCTTTTTTCTTTGTTTTACGATGAAAGACACCCCATGCTTAAATTTTGGTATTTTACATCATTCAAAAGCAATATTTCAAGCAACCACTTGGTACTAGACTATGAGGATTTTTTCATGAAATTTATTTCTAATAAATATTCAAGTTCCAACAAGGATGCATTTGACTAGACAGGAAAAAGAATTTGTTGAACTACTCTTAAACTAGTTCGAACACCCCGACGTTGAATTTTGAAAAAAAAAATATATATATATATATTTTTATTGGAAATAAAAAAAAAAAAGAGTTTGTAGAGGGTTGATGAGAGAGAGACCCTTGAAATATTGGTGATAAAAAGATGACCCACATGAACAACTTAACATTTAACACGACTTATTTGCATACCTATTCCGGTTGATCCATATCATATTGTATTCTCGTAAGATGTTATATACTACTTAACAATCCGTCTGGTGCTGCATCATAGGCACACCGAGAATGTGGATAATTATAAATCATATACATATGAAACGAGAGCAATGAAGTACTCATTCTCGGGCTTTATTTGTCAAGTTAATCTTCCTTTGTAATCGAAGCCCAAATATCTATGAACTAGTTCATGCTTGACTAGTCAACTAGTATTCCTTTATGTCCTACATTTCTTTTCTTTTATGAATATTTTACATTTACGATGAAATCTATGAAAGATTGACGAGTTTATTAGGCTCAAAATAAACTATTATTCCTCTTTAATTTTTTTACAGTTATCTAACTAATTAATTATGTTAACCACTATGTTAACTACCCTACTATTTGTACTACTAATATAACTAGGTATAAACATTACAACAATAACAAGAGAAATCTTAAGGGGTGAGAGACTCCGAGTGTTGTGGGAGGGGGGAGTGTTGAGAGGGGAAAGAAAAGAAAAGAGTAAGAAGAAGGAGAATGTTTTACATGAATTGAATTTCACTTTTTTACCAAAGTCTTACAGTGGACTCTTGTCATTACAACTTTTCAATAATAAAAAAAAAAGATTATTACATTAATTTTGCAAAATAAATATATCACTGTGCTATTTTAACATAAGATCAAGAGACCCAAGTAAAATTTACACCAAAATAAAAATTTTAGAAATTTATTTAATTACTTTGCACTGCAATTGATGGCGTAAAAAAATAAGAAAAACAAATGATCATCTATAATTAAGACTGATAATCAAACGAGTTAGAACGAAGTCAAATAGAGCCTATCAAATTTATTTTTTTAAATAAATCTAAAAAAGTGTTATTGTTTACAAATAAGTCGAATTTGAATGAGCCCAAAATGAACGGAATCTGAGTCAAGCCCGAATATTTACACATAAAATAAGTTGACTTTGGGTTGAGATTGTTAAACTCGTTTTCTAAATAAGCTTAATAAATTATGTAAGTTCGGCTCATTT